GAATGAACCTTTGGATGGATATCTTCATGTATTAATGTAGAAAAGAAAGCCCTACTGATACTGCAGAGGAACGGATCCTTATCTAATAATCTAAAATGACTTCAGTTTTCAGTGTGAGGGTTGCAAATGGCAATTCCTATATGAATAGGGAGAAAGTTTTCGAGAGCAGGCATCGTGCTCTGATAAACATTCATGTCAAATCCAAAGACATTTGGAATTTGCATGAGTTACGACAGTGATACCAGCTAGCCTGAAAATATTCCTTCTTCTCTTCAGTGGTGTCTACTACTTAGTTAGCTTCCTACCCACCTTTTTTGGTGCTGCAGGGACCTGCTGATGCTGTAAAGGGTTCGTGTGCCTGGTCCAAACCTGTAAGGGTAGCTCTGTGTTTTACGGCTTGGTAGGGCCTCAGTGACTTCTGCCAGCTCTAAAAAAGGAGAAAAATGTGAATAAGCCCCTTCCTCTGAAATTATCCAATGGTAAATCAGGCCTGGGGAATATCTCTTATGAAGCAAAGGGATATATCATATATAAAAGATTTTCATGAAGCTTGTATACTGATCTGTATGGGTAGAGCTTGTACCTGCAATAGGTACAAGAAAAAAAAGGGAGGGGAGGACGTTTAAAAGAGGGGCAGATTATTCTTTGTAATTTAAGCTGTTAATTTTCCTGGATTTTTTTTTTTCTCTCTCTCTCCTAAACAAGGAATCAAGCCTTTTAATACCAGCCAGGGTATAAATATTCCATGCTGAGGCAGTGATGAAAGAGGAGGAGACACGGTGATAATCATCTCCGGGGAATTTTTGAAGAATGGAAATTCCAGCCTGACTGCGTTTGACCCGTTTGACAATGTTCTTTTAAGAGCATTGTTTTAAAAGCCTGATTATAAATAGTAGCTAGGCAATATGAAATGAAAGTACGCATTAGAAGACAATGTTGGACTTGCATCATTTTTAAGCTATCATTTTAGCTTGGACCTGTGGGAAATGGGGCTCATAATGGACATGCCTGAGATTTTGAGAGTCCTGCTGCAGTCCGTCCAAGCCAAACAGCATAATTCAATGATTGATGGAATTTTTGGGGTGGAAAGAAGCATGGAAGCTGGCTTTTAACTATAGCCCTGTGGTAACATATCAATGTGCGGTGATACAGCACCCAGGGGGACTCTAAAAACCCCTGAATTAATAAAGCTGCGCGAGGTGAGAAAAGCCTTGTTGCAACAAACCAACAAAAGTGTCGTTGGGGGCAAGGGAGACAAGAAAACCCCAAGAACTCCTCTCTCCTTCGCTGACAGGGCGTAGGAGGCAGCCAAATGGTCATGTATGCTGTGCATTCCTTTTATTTTTCATTTGTTTCCTCGGTCAGCGCGCCGCAAAGAACAGCAGTGACGAACAGAGCCACAAACCCATAATGACTGCATGTATTACAAAAATACGGACAGTGCTTACAGGAAAGTGACACAGCAGATTTTGAATGTGTGGTAACGTTAAAAATGACTCTGTTTATTCTGGTTCCCACACTTTGGGGAGTTGCAGGCGTGTGCTTTTCCCTTGGCATGAATCTGACAGAGCACTTAGTGCCTACTGAAGGCTAAGTCAAGTATAGCAGCAGGGCCAGGCCCCGAGGCCGAAGTAGCAGACTTCATCATCCATCATCCCCTGACAGATGATTTTCTGGCCCTCTATTATAAGGGCAGAAAATGTCCACACAATGCGCAGTAAAGAAAGATACCAGGAGAGAGAATCTCCTTTGGAAAACACTTTTGTTCCTATTCGTGACCAAATTCCAATTGTTATTAAAAGCATTCAATTAGTTTATACAAGGGAAAAGGTAAGGCAACCAAAACATTGTATTTGTGGGAACAATTTCCTGTAAGCAGGTTTCCTTGGATCACCCAAGGTTGGGTATTTTTGTAAAAATGCAAGCACACGAAAAAAAATCAGTCTCAAACAAGTAAAAATTAGAGGTTTGTTTAGTTGAACGTAAACTCCTGTATTTTTATGGACGGGAAGGATTTTTAGTGAAACTGTTGGGAGGTTGAGGCATCCCCTGTGAGCTGAGCATGGTAGAGCAGGGTGCTTGCAGCTCTGCCCTACTGTATACAGCTGTGGGGGGGTTACAGCGGGGATTGGTGTGCTCAAAACCAGCTGTCAGCATGTAGGCTGGCTATGGACATCCCAAAAATGTTTGGATCTGACCCGCACCACCTCTACATTCTGTATTTCTTCACCTCACAGGGCAAAAGCACGTTCAAAAGTGTTAAATTTCATGAATTTTGAAGGGAGTTGTCTAAGGACCAAGACAGATTTATCTAATGCATGTAATGGTTGTGTACTGGTTTTTGGGCACCATGATGATGACAATGTTTTCGTATGTTGAAGAAAAGTCTAAGAAATTCAGCAATAGTCTTTTGCAACATCTCTGGGTACTTATGTGGAGCCACCAGCTAGCCCAAATAAATGTGTACTTGCCAAAGTGTGCTATCAACACTTTGGGGAGTGGAAGGGATTTTCTGGCATTTACAGTGTCTGTCATAGAAAATTCAGATCAGATCCTCGATATTGGCTTTTCCTATCAAGGTCATCCAAACCACTAAAAAGTCATGAGCTGCGGAAGGAAATTCTAACAGTTCTCATGTGGTCATTGCTAGAGAAATCATTTCCTTCGGCATCCATATGTTCAGCATATTTGCCTTGTTCTATCTTTGGTGAAGTTGTGGCATGGCTTTTAGGGAGAGGAAGAGACAAAAAAAAAATCTTGCAGAGGAAACTTTTGGGCTAACCTATTTTGGAAAGTGTTACTGAATCATTACAGTGAGCAGAACACTCTGTTTGCTGTGGGTATGGAAGTTGGGAATTCTGCTTCTTCCTCGCCTTCTCACGCACTCTGTTTCTCCAGTTCGCAGCTGAGGCTGGAGAGCTTCCTTCTTTGTATCTTACCTTTCCAGCCGACATACACGTCTCACAAAAGGAGTTCCCTCACCAGCAGTGATATTTCTGAAGTCTCAGCTACAGCCAAGTAAACAAAGCCACCAGTTGGTTACCCAAACCCTGCCAAGGGTGGTGCTTTGGTCCCATCCTGCCAGTGCAACGTAGGAAATACTCCGCTGGCTTTGAGCACAATAACTGGACCCCAGCTGGCTGTTCCAATGTGCGGCACTTAGAGATGCCTTCTTTTCTACTTTCACATCTACTAAACTATGATGGGCTAAACATGAGCTAAGGTGTGTAGTACAAACAGACCTCACCGACTTCCTTAGGTTTGCTTTATTTTAATAGGCATGGCATGCATTGAATTCAAGTTGTGCATTTCTGCTGTGTTGAGGAAGTAATTTAAAGTACAAGTCTGAATTTGGCTGTAAACAGAATACTCCTCTGTGTAGTTTCTTCTTTTTCTCCCCCTGTATTTATCAGCTTGGTACAGCTGTTGTAGTTGATGTGATCAAAAATATCCTCGGGGGTATGTATGCACATGGTGCCCTGTGTCCGAGTCCCTAATGCTCCTGGGTGGCCGGACCTAAATACGGGGGCCCTAACCTGATCCAAGACAGCCCAGCTTTGTGCATTGGTTGGACAAGGTGACCCCAGGGTCTCTTGGCCTAAATTATTTTAATATCGTGCCAGTTGGCTCCCCGTGTACTGCCCTCAGCTAGCAAGATCTCCTAAAGGCAGACTGCTCTGCCCAGAGAAGCCCAATGGCCTTGGGGGGCGTCGATCCACCCCGGTTACTTCTCAGCAGGAGGAGTATGCCCTCTGGTTCCCATTTTGCCTGCTCATGGCTTTTTCTGGGTGTGGTGCGGGGTTCTGCCATGGTGCAGATGATTATCTGGGTAGGTACTCATTGCTGCTGTGGTTGAGCAGTTGGCTCTGCAGAAGGGATGACTAGATGCTTTGAAGAAGCTTGCTGTGTGTGCTGGCATGTTAGGAGGGCATAATAATAACGTAGGTCTTACTACACTGCTTTGTGGGATGCCTGGTCATGAAACCAGGCCATCAGGCAATCCTAAGTCTTGGGTCATCCGGAGAAAGCAAGCTGAGAGCCTGGGCTGAGCTGTGGGCAGAGATGGCCTGTGTCAGTGTGCTTTGTGTGAGCACTGGAAGGGCGATCCTAAGGCAGCTGTACGGCACTCTGCGGTGCTTCTGTGTCTGAACCTGGAGACTGAACTGCCATGGCAAGGAGGGAGGACCTGTGAGATGGAGATAGAAGGAAATTTTGGCTTAAAGCAGGGTGATGGTCAGTAATTAGTCCTAGCTGAGGAGCTTCTGATGCTGCCTTGCACTGGCCTTCATCAGCCTTCCCTGTGATTGCTGAATTGAGATGTTTTCTGCTAGCAGCCATGGAAGTAGACCTTTTTATAAAAAACCAGATTTTTATGATTGTTTCCAACTAAAATGCATCATGTGCACACACAGTCACATATCCTTTCTCAAGTGCAGAAAAGCCTGAGAGGTAAGGCCCAAAAGATGTGAGGAGCCCTTTTCAGGGAGCAGACGGTCAGGAGAAAAGGACTGTTCCTGGCAGTGGTCTAAAGAAAGGAAGGTCTAAAACACCTTCTCTCTGTGTTTTGTTTTGACTATCTGGGGATATTTTTCTTTAAAACACAGTATAAACCTGATGTCACTGTATATTTGTAATGAAGCAGGAAAGTGTTGGTAAGCCCGTGCCTAGCTGCAGTCACTGTAACGCAGTGGAACCTGTCTCATCTGAAATCGAATGCTTGAAGCGTGGGGATGCCAACACCTCCAGCTTCAAGGATATTAGGACAATATCCTATCCTATCAAGAAGGACCAATGTCCTAATCCAAAATTCATTGCAATTGTGGATGAATAATTATTATCACTCTACTTGGGGAAAAAAAGATAGCAGTTCACTGAAGGTATTTTTTACTCTTTCCTCTCACCCCCCCAGCGAAGTTAACGTTTTTTCATTCACTGTTTGCAAAGATGAAAGTATCATTCATTAAACACACAATTAAGGAAGTTTAGTTTAATTTTCACAGGTTTTTGAGAAGAAAGCCAGAAATCAAAACTGGATCCTGTCACTCCTGATCAAGTCCTGAAGGAAAGGTAAGAATTTTTTTTCTTTTTTTTTCCCCTAGAGTTGGGCTTTGTCCCTTCTACACTTCAGTGCTGCTCACAGTTTTATTTCCAAAGCTTACTATGTCATCTTACAGACACGCTTTTCTGGAATTTGAATATCCATCCCTAATATATATATATATATATATATATATATATATATATATATATATATATTTGTGTATGTGTGTAAGGAAAAAGGAGTTCAATCAGATATTTTGATTAGCAGAAACGGGAGAAAGTTCTCCATGTAGAAGAGATACTGTCACCCATGTATTCAGTTACTAGTGCACAAATGACTTGGGGTGAGGCTAGTGAGGGCATTTATGGAAGATGATGCAAGGCTCCCACACATTTTTACACAGCTCGGTTGGGAGTATTCAAATTGTGGTTTGTTCTGGGATTAGTGTCTGCTGTCAGGTTTGTACCACATGTGGGCTGAAACAGGATGAGTGAAAATGGACTAGTTCTAGATTGCTAGCTCTGTCACTTCTTGCATTGTAATTTCACTTTATTTATTTTTATTTCTGGCTTATTAGCACAAATATTCCTGAGCACAATCCATATCAGCTATTTATATTCATAAACCTATTCCTATTTGTTCCAGCAGTCTCAGCCAAGAACATCCCAGAATCGACATTTTAAAAATCCTTTTGTTTATGGGAAATTTTACACATTGGATTTTCCAAACACTCAACTGGGGAGTGATCACTGCAAACATCTGAGAATACTTTAGCTATCCTAATTCTCTCATGATGTCTAACTAATATGCAAAGAGGGAACAACTGCTTGTTTTATAAACTAGTCTGCCAGGTTTCTTCAAAAGTTGTTACAGCCCCAAATATTCTAAGCAGACATTTGTATCTTAAATACATTTTGTTTTGCTTTTTCCCAGCAAAAGCTAATATTTTCCTTTCCTGGGATGTCTCAGGACTAGATTTTTGAAGCATATAAGGCCTGTTGTGGGGACAACTTAAATGCAGCACGGGCTCACTGCATGTCTTCTGCATAGGAGTGAATTTTGCCCTACTTCAGTCTCTCTTTAAGCTTAAGCTGATCGCCAAATTTGGAACTCTATTTTGTCTTTTAGTTCTGGTTAAAATAAATGCTACTGAATTTTCAAAGTTCAGATGTTCATTAAAATGCATTCAGCACTGCCCCTGGGATCATACCTAAAGTATTTGTAGGTAAGCAGTATTAATATACAATTTGCAAAGCAATAACCCATATCTCAAGTGAAAATGAAGCACTGTGAAGCTAAGAGGTAAATAATAAATACTGATCAACAGGGACTGTGGAAAATCACTGTTGGAAAATGGTAAATCCCAAGGTTTTAGTTGTTTTGCTCTTACTTATTAACTCATGTACAGAGTTTTGCTGTTTTCTGCTGGTGCCCTCGGGGAAAGGTCTTTGTCGTTTTAGATCACAAAGTTTTCCAAATGTTCCTAACACATTCTGTCCTGTTCACCCAGACTTACTAAAAATAAAGAAACCTTTGGCAAACAATAGAGGCAACAAAGGAGAGGCTTCTGCCAATTATTATTGGCAATTATTGATGATAATAATAATGACTTGGTAGATGCTGCAGGAAAATAGCAACACGAGGTATTCATTCTTTTATTGCTTCATGGTATTCTGATACTGATCCCTTGAAATGCCTGGGAAAACAGGCAGGCTTTCTGGCACTACCAGTTTACAGCAAGTCTTCCAAACCTCTTCATTACTCCTGGCAAGGACTCTGGTCCAGGAAAACAGAGAAGTTTTGGACCGTATGTAAGTACCCACAGACTTAAAATTAAGGCCAGGTAAAAGTGCTTCCTGGAACTTTGGTTCGGGGACTCATTTTGATCAATGAATAAATCTCTGACTCCCAGCAGAGACGCTCCAGTGCAGGAGTGATGCCAATGTTTCCAATCACAGTGCCTCTGCTGAAATGGTGATTGCTATCTGACCTGCCAAGGAAAAGGTGATGTGAGCCAGCGCCTTCAGAGAAACCATTGTTCTGATGCTACAGCATGGAGAAGTCGCTAGGACAAAGAATTGCTAAATATCATTACCCACCCTCGAACAATATCACAGTGGATGGCTGGGAACCACCCTGACAGCAGGGAGCGAAATTTTATAGGGACTTCAGTTCTAAAAATGGACAAACAATTGAAATATAAGACAGCTATCTCACTGGATAAATAATATAAACCATCCAGGCTAAATAGAAATAATTACAGTGACATCACTGGAAAAAAGAGCTGATGAAGAAAGTATGTAAAAATACCAACAGCAATTAAGGCAAGAGGCTTAAAGGCTGACTAATTGTCCAAAGACACTGGGTGCCATGTGTATTTCTTACAGAAGCAGTCTTAATATTCAGGGTAATTTAGTGGACAGAAATTAAATTTATATGTGGTAGGATTTTTTCCAAACTCTTATTTTTTTAGTAGTGAAAGTGGCTTAGATAATGCATTATCCATGTACAATTAAAACAGTAAAATTTTGATGCATTCATCTCAACTCTTATACTTTATTATTAATTGGAAATACTTAGATACTAAAGTTATGGTAGCCTTATGGTCTAAATTAGTACTAAGGGAGGTGAGAATTTCACAGAGAGATGTGTCAGTGTGACGTCCCAAAATTTTAGGAGAGAGCAAGAAACTCCTCAGTACTTCAGCACACTGTAACTTTGAGGGGAGAGTGATGAGTCAGGACCGGGAAGGAAATATTCTGGTGCTCCAAGCAGGTGGATGAACTGAAAGCTGTGGCTGCAATGGATGGCACCAAGTTTGGTGGCATCTTTCCATCTGAAGGTTGGCATTTTGGGAAGGGATGGATCAGCAGGTCTTCTTTGTATGTCGTGCTCAGGTATTTACAGATGCGCTGCGTCTTACCAGCTGGCACCTGCGTACAAATCGTGTTGCTTATTCTTCAAACATTTATGCATGGGAGGAGTCTCACTGAAAACCAGGATTGTGTATTTACCGCGAGGGAGAACACCTGTGCCATGGGCCTCTCTGTGAGCAGCACGCTCAATGCTTGCACTGATTTTAGGAAACTTATGGCTCAGATACTAGTAGCTCTTAGCATTCCTCAGCCAACTTCAATTGTTTGAGCCACAGCATTGCCTCTGTGTTCAAAAGAATTGCCTTAGTGTATGTGTGAATTTGACCCCCAACCACAATTTTTTTATTAATAATAATGAAAATATTAATGGTTGAGTATAATAATGCATGGGAAAAAAGGAAACAGTGCTCGCACATGAAATAAAGTATGCTGTTCAGTATTTTGGATAATAAGGGTGCTCAGAAATATTTCCACCATACTTGCATTTGTCTCCTAGTCAAGAAAAGGAAATGAACTTCAAGAAAGTGGACCAAAATTCCCTTCCCAGCCACATTTCCTGGAAGAGAAGAACGAGCAGTATGTATAAAGTAAGGAACAAGCTACAAGGCCAGCCAAGCCTGCCTCCTGTGGATAGTTAATCCATAGCTATAAAATTATATTGTTCTATGTGTTAGTCTTAAATGGCTTGTACATGTGTCCATTGTTGTCAGCTTAGAAAGAATAGTTGTGAAACTTTGGTTCCAAGCATTTAAACATTTTGTCGTGTGAAATGAACCCAAAGCAGCCCCGTTTCTTCAGCAGTTGCATTAAACCCTGGAAGGCTAGGTTAGAAAAGAGCATCTTCTAAGCATTCTGCACAGGGAAGCTGCAGGAAAATGTTGTAAAACTGTTTAACACTTGATGCTCTATTGTTAGGAAGGCCTGCTTGCTGCTTATAATGTCTGATCTGTGCATTGACGTTATTGCAGGCACTGAAATTCACTGCATAATCACCCACCGACTTGATAAGCACCTACAGCCACCTTTCAGCAAATAGTTTAAGTGCTTGGGCTGGGTTTTTTGTTTCTCTGTTTTTTGTTTTTGTTTTTGTGTGTGTATGTTTGTTTGTTTTTAAGGACAGGGGCTAAAGTATATAATGAGTGTGAGTCCATGGCAATCAGGTGTTACATCTGAAAGGAGCTCTCCGCTGATCCAGGCTTTGAACCATGTTACCAGCAGGGCCTGCTGGAGGGGTGAGAGGGCAGAGCCCCTATAGTTTATACAGAGCAGGTGACTTATCTGTGTTTTAGTTCTCACACAGCTGATTTTGTGTTTTTTTTTTTTTTTTAATTTTGTAGATTTCTGTCCTTTGTACCAACTTGTCTTTGTGGGAGCAGAGAGTCAGAGAGTCCCTTCAGGAGAAAACACTGCTGGAGTTAAAATATTGCAGGAGGGAAGCTTGAGTTTTAGATGGTGGCTCTGTGAATTGTCAGGCTTTAGCTCCAGGTGAAGTTAAATGCAGTTTGCAGCATGTGTTTCCCTCCTATGGATGTCTCCGCATGGGAAGTATCGTCTCCTGGCACCTCCAGGAGCTGTGCTGCAGAAGAGCAGACCTGAGGGTGCAGCGCATGATTCTTCCCACATCACCTGAGCTTTGTGCTTAGGCTGTCTTCATGCACTCTGTAATTCTGCTAGCCATGTCCTTAGGAAGTGGAGTACTAAAATTGCTGTGTAGGCACATAATTAAATCACCTGGCTGGAAGAAGAGGCAATGCAAGTGGCACGAGACATGCTGCACACGTGTGGCTGGCTGCTCGCCGCCTTCTCAGGGTAATTCCTCCATCTGGGAAGCTTCTGGCTTCAGGTGATGCCTAGCAGGTGGCTGTGATCTTCTCTTTCACACCTGCAGCCTCTTTCTAAAGTTCTAGAGGTTTTAAGGAGCCCTCAACAGTTTTACTCCTTTGCACCAGCTGTGAGGTGTTGTGCTAGGAGGAGCCGTGAGGAGCTGCAGCCATGTTTAGGCTCCCTGCCTGCTTTTGAGGGGCTTATGTGGACTTCAGGCCTGGGAAGATTCTGGCTGTAATAACTGGTGAGTGATAAAGAGGCATTGCTTGCTTACCTGGTGTTCAGTGTGTTCCTGTACACAGCATTAAGGTAGCAGATCACAGAGC